AAACCTGGAAGAAACACATACACAAAAGGAAAACTTCAGGCCAATATTCTTCGTGAACATAGATGCAAAAATTCTCAACAAAATACTAGCAAACTGAATTCAACAGCACATCAAAAAGCTAATACAAAATGATTAAGTAAGCTTTATCCCTGGGATACAAAGTTGGTTCAACACATGCAAATTAATAAAGTGATTCATCACATAAACAGAATGAAAAACAAAACTCACATAATTATCTCAACAGATACAGAAAAGGCTTCTGATTAAGTTCAACATTGCTTCATATTAAAAACTCTCAATAAACTAGGTATTAAGGAAAATATCTCAAAATAATAGGCGCCATTTATGACAAATCCACAGCCAACATCATACTGAATGGACAAAAGCTGGAAGCATCCCCTTGAAAACCAGCACAAGACAAGGATATCCTCTCTCAGCACTCCTATTCAGCATAGTATTGGAAGTCCTGGCCAGAGCAATTAGGCAAGAGAAAGAAATAATGGGCATTATAGGAAGAGAGTAAGTAAAATTATTCCTGTTTGCAGATTACATGATTCTATATCTAGAAAACCCCATAGTCTTGGCCAAAGAGCGCCTTCAGCTGATACACTATTTCAGCAAAGTTTCCAGATAAAAAATCAATGTGTGAAAGTCACTAGCATTCCTATACAGCAACAACAGTCAAGCTGAGAGACAAATCAGGAACACAATCCCATTCACAATTGCCAATGAAAGAATATAATATCTCGGAATGCAGCTAACAAGGCAGATGAAAGGCCTCTACAATAAGAACTACAAAACACTGCTCAGAGAAATCAGAGATAACACAAACAAATGGAAACAAATTTCTTGTTCATGGATAGTAAGAATCAATATTGTTTAAATGGCCATACTGCCCAAAGCAATTTACAGATTCAAGGCTATTTCTATCAAACTACCAACGACATTCTTCACAGAACTAGAAAAAGACTTTAAAATTCATATGAAACCAAAAAAGAATCTGAATGGCCAAGCAATTTTAAACAAAAAGAACAGATTTGGAGGCATCATGTTACCCTACTTCAAACTATACTTCAGGGCAACAGTAACCAAAACAGGTTTCCTGAAAGAAACCAGGGTATTCTTTCAGGAAAGTCCCCAAAATGGGAAAGTAAATCCATACCTCTGTCCTAGGAAATAAAAAGAAATTTGACTAAGAAAACATATTAAGCCATTGAGATCTGTGTTGGCCATAGTTCTAAAACTAAGGAACAAACATAGTAAGGAAAAAAAGAAATAAAACAAGAATTAAAAAAAAAAAAAAGGAACTTCACACAGGAATTCCCCAAGGCTGCTGATTCATATTGTAGGTGTGGAAAGGCATCCTGCTAATCTTTCTCAACACCAGGGGACACTCTCCCTTTGGATTTCTATGTCTAGAGACCTGTGGCTCATTAAAAGGCAGGTTGATTTTCAGAGAGAAAGAGGTTTTTAAAGATGAGTTTATGCTGCAATCCCAGCATGAACTATTGCTTCAAATACGTTTTAACTTTTATAATCACTGGGAATATAAACAAGAATAGCCTCCTTGACTGTGAATCAGAACAATCAATCAGGTAAGAGAATGAACTGAGACAGGCTGCGAAGTTGCACATAATCTCAATATGTTAATGAATGATCTAGCTACTTGCTAGTATTAAACACCCGGTATCTAGATCTCATTTTCTATTTAATGGTGTACTGCTCATTGTGAGGAGAAATATGAAGGCCCTTGACTTACCACATTTTTACTGCCATATCTTATTCTCAATTCGACATATCTAGTTCTCTAGACATTATACAAAGCAAACATGTAATTTCTAAATGGTGAAATTTCAGTGAAGAAAACGATTTACTACAAACCACTCTGACTGCTAATTTTCTTAGAAGCTGGGAATATATGTTTTACCATATGGATTTTTGGGACAATTTTGTTTTCTGGGTCCAAGAACCAAAAATTATATTTGAAATATAATTTGTATTTTAAACGGGAGTGGTAATTTTTTAAATACACAAAATATACATGGTCATTCAAGAAAGTTACATGAATTATTTGAAGGCAGTCCTTCATGTACGTATAGTAAAAGTTAGATTGTTTTTCAAAATTTCTTCCCAGCTATGAAGCCAAAAATCCCATGGCTCTCTAGAAGTGTTCCCTTGTTCATTATTTTTTTTACTGTAGTCACATCAAATTATATTCTTCTCTCCTCAGTGGTTTCTAAAACCTTGAATGATACTCCTTTTATAGGAAGCACTCCAATGTCAGCATCTCTTCAATTTCTTTACAGTTCTACCAGCTCTCTCAGTGTCTCTCACTTCTGTAAGTTCCCCACGCATCCTACTTCTTCCCTCCCAATATACAAGAGCTAATCCGTTACAGCCTAATGAAAAGAACAAAGAAGAAGCTACTTCACAAAATTATGTCTGCTTTTATTAGTAAACTTAGTGAAGATAATGCCAGTACTTTACAAATTATGGAGAAAAAAAATTTCTAGAAAATGTAATGGATCTAGAAGAAAAGAAGGTGAATTTCACTTGAGATAGAATATTCCTTAATATCTGATGAGTGAGTTTATTTCAGGCAAATAAAAACAGAACTTAAGAAAATAGATCACAGAGAAGACAATTTCAAGAAGGCTAAATATATTTTTAGAGGAGAGGTTAGTATTGGTGAAAAAAGAAGAGAAACTACTGAATCTATCAGAGGAAAAACTATTCTTATCCAGGGATACATAGATTTCCTAGGAAAGGAAGAGTCTAAGATCAACAGATAAATAAAAGCACAATAACATTTGCAATGAAAAAAGTAATTTGGGATTCTATTTCGAAAAAAATATAAAGGGTCAGATTATAGGAAGAAACTGAGCTCATCATCAGATATAATAGTGATGAAATTTTAAATATTCAGGCTAATATGTGACTAATGTGGTCATGTTTCTTACCCCAGTAGGTCACTACGACATTTCAGGGATGTGGGTCAGGAAGAGATCAGTAAGAGAATATCTCTAATTAATTTACATTGTAAAATGAGGAAATGCAATTACTACTACTCTTTCAAGATTTAAAAAAACAAAAACTGTGGTTTTGATGCATTGAAACCTGTCTTTTTATTTCAGTTAACATCCTACTGGTGGTTTCTTACTAGGCCAAGAGATAGCTATGTGATATGCTTAAAAATTGTCCCCTGTGAGAGCTACTTGGAAAGACAAAAGGAAAGCTGTAACCGAATGAAGATATTCATGGGCCCAGAGAGGTGGCTAATGCCTGTAATCCCAGCATGTTGGGAGACCGAGGCAGGCAGAT